TTTTTTTTTGTAATTATCGAAAATTCAGAGTAAACTCTGGAAATCGGATTGGTCCCTTCTTTGTAAGTGTATTTTACTCTATTCTTACACCAAAAAAATTGGAGCCTTTTTGAGAAAATTTTGACAATGTCCCAGAGGCTTCATGTGAAGTACTCCCAAATTTTAAAGAATATTTTTCAAAACCCAAGGCTTTGACACTCGCCAAATCGACAGGGATTTCTGCAAATTGGAAAAAATCCTACGCGTGTTTTAGGCGCTAGCTGTGTTCACAGACACGAACGGGCAGACGGGTAGACGAACAGACGGACGTTTTGGCGTCAATTGGTTTTTCGTTATCAAGGACCCACAAAAGAGGGATGATGGCTATTCCACGTGTTAGACCATTTTGGTTTCTTAATTTCATAACTGGATTTATTCACGTTTTCCTTATCAGGACCTGGCAATGAATTTTCCTCTCCTGAAAATCTGCCGTTTTTTCGCCCAGCATCACATAACTTCCTCTACTCCGTACATACATAAACGTACGTATACGAAAAAGTTAAAATTCGCTCCCTAATATCGATGTTTCCATTCGGAGCGTCCATGTTTTGACAGCCCGCCCGCCCGCCTTCCGAGCGTTCCAGGGGGCCGGGGGGGGGGGCGACCCACGCCCTCCCCCACCTGTGCGGCCCGCGGCGCCGCGGGGGGGCGGCGCGGCGCGCGTATGTCAGCGCGGCGGAGCCCGCCTAACCAGTGCCGCCGCCGCCCGTCCCCTTCCGGATTCGCCAGTGCCCCCGCCCGGCCGCCATGCGCGCCTCCGTCGCCGTCCTCCGGGCTTGCCGGCCGCCGCCGCCGCCAGCGCGCCGCCTCCACGCTGGCGCGACCGCGCGCCGCCACCGCCCCGCCCCACCGCCGCCCCGCCGCCGCCCGAGGGCGCATCGTGGTGGAGTCCGACCGTGCCGCCCGTGGAGATGCCAACGAGACGCTGCCGCAAATACCTCCTGCGGCCGCAGCGCTCATCTCTCGGAGCAGCCCTGCGTGTGTGGAAGTGCGACCCAGGGGCGGATGCACACAGATTGACATTTAGGCCAACCGGTACACATTCCTGCTGGTAAAATGAATCTGTTGGAAGCGCATTTTCAGGGGCCCACGAACCCCCGTTGAGGTCGGTCGCGAACCAATTAATTAAGATTGCATTTTACAAGGGCACGAGTGGCAACTATAACATAAACCATCGGCCACAAGTAGAGAAATCCAAGTATTCGCGCGACGAGATTTTGAGACCTTAAACGTCGCCAGAAACGTCATAAACGCTCTTAACATGTTTTTTAAAATGCCTGGAAGCAAAGGAAAAATAACGTTAAAAAAAATGTCATTAAGCCATTCCGAGAACAACTCAATTGATATGCAACTGATGTATCTAGGTTTCATCTATCGAAATCGTAAAGGGTTGTCAGGAAATTTTCGGTTCTAAACGGCATTGTTCTATAGTGAAGAAAAAAAAGAGAGTCATTAAAATGCGGCCCTGGAGATTACTAGTATAAGAGACACCGACTCTGACAGCCATTGCCAGGTAGTCTACACCAGTAATTTCTGAGTGCGTTGCTTACAGTTACTCGTTTGTAAATGGCTCATCACTCATCTGCTATGTAATCGCCTGGATAACGTTCATTTACCGACCTGCAAAGGGGTCCGTTCTTAGAGTAAGTCCTATACATTGCAATGATGTTTTCTTCAGCCCTCAATACGTTCAGATGCGGTAGGGAGAAGACAACGATGCCGATGTGTTCAGAACATCGATGTCTCTACAAACATCGTATTAACATCGATGTTTGTTCTTTTCCGATGTGTTTTTCTGCATGAGAAATTCTCAAGATCCAGCTGTACTGTAAAGTTAAAATATGAAATAATAATGTGATATGAATACTGTTAATACACGGTTGAAGCAAAGGAACGCTGTTGTGTACTTATTTCATCGAACCACTCGCCCGAGATAACCCGTTTTAACATGTCTAAACAAAATGCGTTTGGCTAGGGTTTCCCCTTCTTCTCAACACTTATTCGTGGGAAGTGATAAACCATGAACACTGATTAAATTAAATTTGTTGCACACGAATATATTTTAAAACTAGCTTGAAACATGGGATGAGCAAAAACATCGATTGTTTTAGCCGATGTATTATAATATCGATGTTTGTTTTTTTTGAAAGATTGATGTTTACTAACATTGATGTTTTGTTACGATGCTCGCATCACTAGATGTCAGAGGATGGGTTTTAATTATTTTGTCACAGGACAATTGCCTCAAATCTGAGCCGTTTTTCGACGCAAAATTAGTTTCTATTGCCAGGACGAAAATTATTTGTTCTGTGCAAT